TAACTCCAATAATTCGATATGACATCTCTTGATGACATTGCATACAAGATCATATTATCATCTTATCTATAACCGGAATTATATTTCGAAAAGTAAACGAAAAATAAAAGTTAAGTAATATTACAGAACAGCCATTACTATCATTATCGATTAATTAATAACAACCAATATCCGACATCAATATCACCTTAGATAATTGATAACATCAATTCATAGCTCCAAATTTATCATCCACATATATCAATCTATCTATCCTTTGCTACATGTTTGTCTTTTTTTTTTCACTAAATTACTTGTAACTTTGAATCATGAAATTTTCAATTTTTTTCAGAAAATGAAGAAAAAAAATGGAAATAAATTATGAAGATGTCGTTGTTAACGGTATGGAGCGCTAATTATATACACTGATTTGATCAAAACCTGAAGTTTCATCATCGATAGAGGAATGAAGAAAACGAAGAGGGAGAGGGTGAATGTTGTTTGCTAAGATTGTTGGAAAGAGTTGGGACAATTTGAGGACAGACGAACAAAACTTCTTGCTGTTTATTCCACGTTGTTGTTGTTGGTGGTGGTGGCTGTGATGATAATGGTATTGGTATTGGCGTCGACATCGTGTCTATGTTATTCATACGCTAAATGTCTAAATAGCAACTATAGATCTAATATTTCCGTTTATATAAAATCATAGTTTTTTTGATTTAAGGTATAATATTGATAATATCCTTTCAACTAATAATATCAAACATTTTGAACATATAATTCTGTTTTCATTTTATTCCAAAAATAATTTCAAGAAATTAAATATCAATTGAGCCACCGATCATTTCGTGAAGAAAGAATACACTATTTTCTGCTATTTAATAGAAAATAAAGGAAAAAGTACATCGAATAATATATAATATAACTTTTCCAATTTTTCTTCTTTTATATTTAACAAAAGATTTCATTTTCTACAAAAACTTTCCTTCTCCAAATTATTCTCTCTGATCCCTCTTAACTTCACCTTCTATTTCCTTCTGACAATATTGTCTTCTTCTTTTGACAATCATTTAAGCTAATTTTTGCTATATCAATGTTTATATCCTTACATTTAACAACAATAATATAATAGAAAGATGATTCAACATATACTTTCTTTCTCTTTGCGTAATATTCATTTCCCTTTTTGTCCCTCAAACAACAACAATCCAAGCGATAGTTTTATTTTTTCACTTTTTCTTATGAAGGATATAAGAGTTTAAAAATAGAAGTAATTAATGTTAATGAAATTCAAATTTAAATGAATTAGATCTAATATTAATAGAAAATTGATAATTTTTTGTAACATATATATATATATCAAGGTTATGAAAAAAATAGTAAAGATTTTAACTATATTAAAGAATTATGGATGATATAATTGATAAAATTAGAAATGGGAACAAGTTGTTAAGTAAGTATAACAACTTTCAACGATAATGCACTTAGACACTGTCATATGAAAATACTACTACCTATTTATCGATAAGGTTGGATAGTAGCTGTTAGCAACAGCAGTGTGATTAGCTAATTGGAATTTAAGTGATTGTACCATAAATATCTTTAGTAAGACACTTTTACGTCTCTATTAGACGCATAATTCATAAGGCTGTTTGTTTGGTGGAATGAATAAACAAGCGGCAGTTTTGATAGGAATATTTTGGAAGCAATTTTAATTTTAGTTTTATCAACAAAAAATGCGAATGTTTATTGACAGACTTCCAACAGATTATCTCAACATTTCAGCATTTATCGAATTTATGAAATCTTTTAAATATTATTTGAAGCATTCAACTCGAATTTCTTGCAAAATGATGTGGTCAAATTAAAAAGTTCTTTTTTTTTCTGGCAGAAAAGATGCATTTGCTACTCCAACGACATGCGATTTGTGTAACGATGTTTGTATGTCCAATCCTAATAACACAATGCGAAAATAACGATGGGTATAAAAAGGTATCCAATAGACGACTTACCGATCAGATTGCCGAGAAAGCCAAGCAAACTGTCGTAGACATCGGTGAAGTGATGAAATCTCAACAATCTGTCTTGGAATGTGACGGCAAAAAGTTCGTTCATTTCTCTTTTTTCATCCCATTTTTCTTTTTTTTCTTTTTTTAATATAAATTGTGAACTTTTAAGATATTTGAAAGGGGACTACAATTGTCAAGTTCGTAATTTAGATTTTAATGTTGATATTGTTTTTTAAATGACGATGACAATTATTTATACCTTTCAAAGTTAAAGATATTAAAGGTGCTAAAGATATTCACTCAAGACCCATTTGCTTAGATTAAATGATTATAGAAAGGAAATTCACATTATTTAATTGGATGATTGAGATAATTAAATTAGTGAACAATGTCAATAATTATAATTGGCAAGAATTTTATGGAAAAATTTGATTCCAAACTAATTTCCCTGTTAGACCACTTCTTTATCATTAGTTAATGCGAGATTTGCTAAATTTATAGATGTCCAAACAACAATATTTTCGTATTTTATCAATGCTGCGAAAACGTTCCCAAAGAATGTTGCTGGCACATTCGATATTGGCTCACGTAAGTATTCCGATTTCTGGATTATGAATATCTGAAAATCTGAGATTCCTTTCATTTCTAGACTGTAAGAATTTCCTTTGTACCGTATGAAGAATTCATTTTCAGTATTGTATTAATATTGATACTACTCAAAATGCTTTGGTCTGGTTTGGTATGGTGCATACGGAGATGGTGCCATGATTGAAAAAGTGGAGAGATAATTTTGTTATCTTTACCTGTCAACATCTGGTAATTGAAATGAGCAAATGAGCTATCTTATCACTTATAAAAATAAATCATTCGCCTGAAATAGAGTGTTATATTATGCTCATGTTAACTTCTTAATTGATGTAAAATTCTCACTAAATGAATTTGATTCACTACTTTCGCTGACTTCAACTTCCATATGTTAATCATTTTTCCCTAAATGATATTTTAAAAAATCCAAATAAATTTCGCAATGATATTTGTCCTTTTATTGGAAATGTTTTTGAAAGAAATGTTATTCGAATAGAAATGAAGTTTAATGAAAATCAAATTATGATTTAAATGCAACACAATATGTTTTTCTCATTTTATATCTTAATTTTTTCAATGCCTACCTAACCTGTTGATACCACACAGCAGCTATTGATCGAAACTACCTCCACAACTTCGTATTCGATCAGTATCATAGTTATAGTACTCTCTTGTAATGCAAATCTTTCGTTACTGTTGTGATCAGAATTTAAGAAGCTATTACATTTTCGAACAATTTTCTGACTGAAATATCACGATGCAATAATTAATTGATCAATGAATAGCTATCATAATTTTTTGGCCAGGCAAGAATTTACGGAAAATTTGAAATGTATCGGAAATTCTGAATGCAATATTTAACTGATCCAGGATGAATTTAATATATACTCATATCGAAAATTTTGAGAAATGAATTTAATATATTCGACAAAATTACGATAAAATTGATCATTGTTATATTTTGTTTACAAATCAGACACAGTGAACGAAAGTTTTAACAACTTAAGATTAACAAATAATGATACAGAGATGCTTGATTGTAAAAAATAGCATTTATTAACAACCAATGGTATAGTTATGCTCAAAATGGAAAATTTCCAAAGATTTTTTTTTAAATAGTTTGTTTATTATTCATCTATTTAATGCAATAATGGGTCTTACTGCTGTTGATTGCATGCAATACTTAAAGTGCTATTGTTATGATGAAAATTTATTCTGACTGTAAAAATGCTAATTTGTGGTGTTTCAGAAAACAAAAAAAGGAGGAAAAATTTTTGGAAATAAATGAAAATTAAAGAAACTTGTACACAATGTCATTTTTTTTCTTTGATGATAAGTGGAAGCATTATGTTTACGTTCTTAATTGCGATGAATTTAAAAGAAGAACCGGATACACAACGAATGCAAGAGGAGATGTGATTGACCGTCGATATCCAGTGATACTTTTCATCTTTAACTGGAATTTATTGATGTGTATCAAATGTTGCACCAACAAATTTTACTAATTTCACAATGCTTTTATTGTTTATCGTCAGGACATCATGCTAATTTGCTATTTCTCTTCCTTGTCCGTCATTTTTATGACAACAACTGCAACACGACAAATTCACATCATTATACGTGATAACGTGACTCAAGCTTGTCCGGGTCGTAAGTTAACTTTTCAGAAAATTTTTGAATTACCAAAGTAACTCAATCAATTCTTGTAGCGTTATCATTAACTTAATCGAAAAAAAATCCTCATTGGTTTAATATTTCTTCTCTACCATTCATTCATTTAGGAACGAACTTCCAATCTTCTATGATGTTTCTCACAGTCTTTGGAATTCTTTATTATAAAAAATAAAATGAACTAAACGTAATCATTTGACAACAGCCAACGACAAGATTCATCAGTAAAAGCCGATGTAAAAATGTTGAAAACAGAAAAATGCATTACCACCAGGAGATCCCTAAAATAGATGACCATAATTGTAAAAAATAAATTTGAATATGAAGCTAATTTCTTTCTAGAGCACTTCGAATTAATTGATCGGAAAACGATAAATGTGCAGTTTGAGTTTATGCCGTTGATTGGTGATGCCGACCAATTATTAATTACAGAACAAAATGGAAATACACGAACGATTACGTTTCCGGAGTATATTTTTCATTATGACTGCGTTCTGTATTTATTGAAATAGCTCAAGAACATGCGAATAATTATTGAAAATTTGCAGATGTTTTCGTGCGCGATTGAATTTTCAATTAAAGAAACTAATCAGCAATCCATATATTGAATCTTTCATACAGCTTGGGACAAATATACCGTGCAAGATGGAGGAGGATGAAGTCACCAGTGATATTCAACACATTTGCACAAATATTACGCAAGAAGATTGGTGTCCAAAAAGTGATAATCAAAAGTTGAGATCAATGCTTAATGGGAAAAGTACATGGTATATCATGTCCACACTTAGACTGCATATTTTTCATTTGAATTCTAAATCCCAAATTTAAGCCTCCCAATTTTTAATAATCCAGGTATATATTTGAAAGCTATTCCTATTTGCAGCAGGTTTTGTAATTTGTGCCAGCCGTTAAAATCATTTGATAGAGATGTGGAAAGTTATATTCAGAGCGAAGGACCCAATCAGTGCAATTCCACGTCGCTTTATAAAACTTTCATTATTCAGGTATCACTTCGCATATCATTTTTTTTTCTGCAGAAAATTAGTCGTATAATCTTATAGCATTAACTGCGTCAGGCATACCACAATTCAGATATTTCACAGATTTGCACGCCGTCATCAAAACAATTACGACAAAAAAACCTTCAATATAATGGAAAATTAGAAGAATACTGGAATTATTTAAAACAGGTTTGCATTTTATTCAAGATTAATTCTTTGCGTCTAAAATCCGAACCAAAAATAAATTGGAAACAAATTCCGCAGAAGTTATAAGCCATCAAGTTCAATATTTTTTGGAAGCGCTATATCCACTATTAACGCCGCTTTTCCTTCACGCATCCATAGTCCCATTTCACCTTCAGAAATGCAGCCTTAGAATGAATTACTATGTAATGACCATCTCATAAAATTAGACATCCAACCAAAACCTGTTTAGGGCGTTCTAACAGCAGTAGTTCACATCATGGATCGTCCACAGTTAGGAGAAACCAATCTACGGCAGTGTCAGCGTTTATGCAGGACCTATGAAAACTACCCAACCATTTCCGAATCATATCGCGCAACGCTACTGCAAACCATTGAAGAACTTTGTGTTCCAGTTGATTCATACGTCGCTTGCATCTATCACACCATAAAATTCGATGTTATCGATAGCTAATTATTTCCTTTAATACCGCATCCCTACCAGTCTTACCACTTCACTATCGATTAATTTCTTAAGTCAACGTTTGTAACTATGTCACCACAGAAATAAGTCACACTCTAATTTGTTATATGTATCCCAGACACTGGATGACCACTCTTGAAAACCGTCGATGTGTGAATAGTCTCCTTGTTCAATATTGTCTTCATCTAAGCCGTTTCTTTCATTAATTTTGTGCAGAAAACATGACTCGTGAAATGACACCTTAAAAATGAAAGTTTCTCAAAGCGACTTAGAATTATACTGATCGGACCCTTCCCTCTGAATATAACTTTCCATATCTTTCTTAAATGATTTCAACGGCTGGCATAAATTACAAAACCCACTGCAAGAAGGAATGACTTCCAAAATATATCTCAATTAAAAATTTGCTCAAATTTGGAATTTAAAATCCAAATGAAGAGTGAACATGATACTATATACTTTTCCCGTTAAGCATTGATCTCAACTCTCGATTACCATGTTTCGGACACCAATCTTCTTGCATATTTGTTCAAACAACAAGAAAATTCTATTTCACTTGAAATACACGGTACTCATTTACATTTAAAACATAAGTCGGAGGAGGTATGACATATTCTTACATAGCCAAAAAATAATAACTTAGTAATCAATCACTTGCAATTCTGTCTCACTTATTTCCAAACCAATTACTGAAAAATCTATTCTGTATCATATCGAAATGTTTGTTTTCTTGAATTCCACCATAAAAATTTTCGGGAAGCTCATCGAATGATTTTACTACTCATAGTGACAATATAGGTACAAAAATTTGAAAACGGAAAACACCAATTAATAAGACGAAAATCATATTACGACAGAAAAATTATATCATTCTAAAACTCATCGAAAGAGCCCAGATATTCACAGACATCATCAAAACACACAGTGATAATTTCATTAGTAGTTATCAGCCTAGCAAAAACCATATGATTTTTCTTATCCCTTGCTTCCAGTACTGCAATATTTCCACGAAATGGACCATTCACAACCATTAACCTTGTGCCTTTCTCTCTTGGTATGACTGTTTCCAGCCACTGTTCATTGATTTCTAAAAACATACTAGTATTAAGATTTACCAAAAATAAAGAGATCCTCATAATGACTTACGGAAATATTTATTTCCAGAAGAATCTTCTACAGCACAGTTTTCACGATCGGCTGCATCCAAAATCCGCACCTTTTCATTATAGAGCTTTCCATTCTGAAAATAGCTTTCCATTCTATAAATTCTTAGTATCTTTAGAAAGCACTATTAAAACGATGAATAACAGTTACAAGACACAAGTGTGTAAGACTCCTTGTGAGTTCAAATAAGTCAGTTAAATTTTATTGGATTTCGGTAAATTCCTAATTCAAATAGTAACTCAATCAACTGCGAATTGGGAAAAAGCAGCGATTTCAGAAACATCCCAAAAAACTTTCAACATAAAAAACATAATAACCTTGAATCTCTTATCGATGAATCGCACTTTCAGTTCTGGTCGTGCCCACATATCTTTTCTATTTGGTTTGACAATTTCTGATTTCTGCTTCTCATAATTCTTCCCCTGTGACATTCTCATCTCATCCTTCGATTCGATTTCACCATTTGAATGTTTCCCATCATGAGAATGCTTTGCTTCAAAACATATAACTGTTTTGCAAATTTCGAAAATAAAAAGACAGAGGATATACATATCCATTAACTGGCACTATTTCCGGCTTAAGCTGACATGTAATGAATAACTTGACAGAAATATGTCACTATGTGTAGTAACTAACATATTAGGAACAGAAATTGTGAAGCATTTCAAACTTGCTTTGCTAGGAATCAGTAAAAGAAGTTAATGACATTCACTTCAGATTTGCATGCAAGTATCGAATTCCGGATATAATGACTGAAGAGAGAGGTAATAGTCGAATGTCATAGGGCAGCCGGGCACATATTTGCATGTGCCGTCAACAGACTTTCCCAATGAGCAAACCCACTTTTTTCCCAAAAAAAATTGCATTATTATATTGTTTACGTAGTAGAAAAGTCAGGTATTATGCCTGCCCTCCAAAAGTCAGACATAATGACTTTCCTACCACGTAATCAATATAATAATGCAAAATTCTATTCGTTAGGCTCGTGAAAAGATTAGAACATAAGATAAAAAGTTTAGCAAAACTCTTCGATTAACTTGCAGTTTCAGACTATATAAAAATCTAAACCGAAATAACTACCTATGTTCTTGCCTTTTCGTTCGTACTCCTCATTAGTAACCGAAATCACAGCATAGTGACTAACACGAACGTTTTTGTCACCCAGAGCCAGCCGAACAATAACGCTTGCATTATCTTCATCGAAACTCTCTATTCTTCCATATAAATTCCTAAAACAATTTTTATAAATTATTCAAAAAAGAAAACAAAAACAAAATAGAAATGTTACAAAATAAACAAAATGTTTACTACATACACAATAAAATCAAATCAATGCAATACAAGTTGCGAAACGCATTAGTTATTTAGCTCCTCCCGCGTAAACTGTTTCAAAACGGCACTATTAAATTTGCAATCGAAACTAATTTTTCATAAAAGAAGCAAGGGAAATTAGGAGCGTAAAATTTAGGGTAATCACTTTGTTTTTACAAATCTGACACAAACATCCGACACATTGCAATCTCCTCAAGGGAGCACATCCAACCAGCTTTTCTTTTCTAAAGTACTATCATTACCTATATATTCCTCCTGTAATTTTCACAAGAGAGGCTTTCTTTAAACTATTCAATTTCTCTGCGTCTGAATTATTATTAGTCGATTTTGACACAATAGCGGCACCTAATCCAAGTCCTTTCGGCCTTCTGGATGAGATTTGCAGAGGCACTACCCTGAAAATTAAATAAGAGTATTTCGTTCAACCCACAACATGAAAGCATTCCTACAGTAGGAAATAACATTAAGTAAACTTCCAACGTGATTTAATTCTCTGAAATCACTGTACCAATAATTAAAATGATCATTGAGGTTATAATCTTTGAAAACCACTGATTTAATAAAATGAACTCCCGGAATAAGAAAAAATTTCATAAGACTACATAAGTTACACAAAACCAAGTATAGTCTAATTTATGATTTGAAAGTTATAAAATACCTCTTGTTTGTTTTACCAATTCCTTCACCTTCATGCCAACCACAGCCTCGCAATACTGCAAGACCAAATACTTCTATCGGTACCGAATCATAATCAGCGTCCACATTGCTAAGAACTTCGTTGATTTGACCGTCAACTTTATTTGTGTTCTAAAGAAACAACCATAGACAAAACATATGCATTATTTAAGATCATCGAAGTTTAAAACGATGCAAAAACATAAATAAGCAGAGAACACATTGCCTCCAGAATCGATGACGAAGCAGCCTCGGTAAGTAGGTTCAGCTTCGCTAGCTCTTCCTCATTTAATTTACCCTCGCTCTTCATATGCAATAGACGTTCAATCCTCCAATCTTTCTGCTTCACCATCGGTATAACTATGCTGTTTTTCGATTCATGTATCCCTCCTGGTCTGAAAATAAAGGCTTTGTGATGAAAATGCATAATAAATGCTATTATTTCATGTCGAGAAATCTTAAAAATAAACAGCAGCATCCATTTTTCGATTTATTCCTTTATCGACTTCAATGCTAATCCGATTAAAATAGACTTCTGCAGTTTTGAAAAATGAAGCTGAGTAGAAGGAGCAGTATTTATGTGTAAATCGTAAAATGTACCATTACGCGAATCGGATTACAACAACAAAATAGACTGATGCCAAAAATTACTGAAATGATAAATAACATACTCAACTATTTGTCCGTTTCTTATAAGTGTAAGCCGTTGACGTTTACTTCCATTTACAGTATCCTCTATATCATCATCACTTCCATCACTTTCAGTTCGCAGTACATTATTGTTCGATACCGATGCCACATTCCTTTTCTCCGCGGATATCGTGAATTTGACATCAGATGATTTCTGACATGATAAATATTTGGAAATGTGTGACATGCCAGATGAGCAGGAATGTTTAGATGCGAATACCATTTGTGCACTAGATACTAAAACAACAATTATATTTTTATCAAATCAAACAAAATGAAAGTGAGAGAGAAAGTAAGCAAAACTATTTGTGAAACAGTTTAGAAAGTGGAAACGGTGCACCGCCAAGTAACGTACACATACGGATTTCTAAACCGCCCTGAGTGTAACGAGTGTGGATGAATTGACCGAGTACACTATCTACGACTACCATAAAGAGTAGACAATGAAAAACGAATTGAAACCTCACGATACGTATGTATATTCACGACCTGATCTCAAAATCAAAACTACTGATGACCTTACTGGTAGTCTTGAGATACTCCAAAGGGTCTATCTTTCTCTACCCAACTCACAAAATGCAACAAGAAATAAACTCACATGCCGCTTCATCAGACAAACCGAATCGCTTCGTCACGATCACAGCGCTGAAGTATTCTGGTGAAGAACAGTATGAAAATCTCTGTGTGCCATAACAAATATGCTTTGATATATCGACATTCAGTTTGGTTTACTGAGATTTGATCATGCTCGATATCTTATGTTTTACGGGAGGGAAGAAGTATTAAGAAATATTGTTTTGCTCCATAATCCCGTCTGCGGAAAAGTCAGAGAGAAAGCCAACAAATACCGAACGAGAATAGATATCACATCACAGGTTTAGTTGTGACGTTATCAGTTGGAAACGCGAATGAATTTCTTTGAAGAATTTCACAGCGTGGAAGAAAAAAAAACTGATTAATTATGTTTACCTTATCTCATTGCTATTATTTGAGTTGCCCATTTCCAGAATAATAATGTTACAGCAGTTGTAGACATTTTCGGTTCCATCGTTACTGAGGTGGAATTGGGTATATTCGCTCCAATTCTCAATTTTTGGGTGACTTCGTTACAATTTGTCGGAAAGTGGGTTGAGTGATCTGGACAAACTCTTCGATAAAATTTGGTTTGTAGTTGACCGATTGGTGTTTTGCGGATGACAGATTCAAGTTTCAACTCGTCGTTTATTCTTGCGATAGGCTTGATTGTTCAGCGTCTTCTGTCTCTGAAGCTTAACTTCAGGTCTGTACTTTTTTTACATGGTGCCCATGTAAGTGGGAAGAAACATAATGTTGTAAGTAGTCGATATGCAACACATTTTTGAAATATTTTTGCTCTTACAAGCCCTCAGTTTTAAGCAATGACTTAAAAAGGGGGAGGGGGAGTTGAGACACTTTCTCTCCAGCAACTTTTTTAGTTGCCATCTTCTCCTCTTTTCTTTTTGGAGGTAGCTCGGAAGCATCTTTTACCTAAATAACTCATATGCTGATGCCAAACTATTGATTTTAATTCATTCACAGATTACCTCGCTACTGATCTGAACTTTATTGTCCTAAACCTGATGTTGCATTCTGCACTTTCACTACTTGCAGAGTTATATTGCTAAGTACTTTGACATTACCCCCCCCCTCACGAAATCAGATTTTCTTGTAAATAGTTGAAAAATGTAACCAAATAGGATTACGAATTTCACGAAATAGTAGTTTTCATGTTTTGTATAACGTATCGTAAAAATTTTATTTATTTTGGAATAATTTACCGTTTTGCCTCAAGTTATTTAAACAGTTTTTCAGAGGTCTAAGTTACTGATCCATAAGCAGCAGGTTCTAGAACAGTCTGCAGAATGCCGAAAAATAAGGGAAAAGGTGGCAAAAATCGTCGGAGGGGTAAGAACGAGAATGATATAATGAAAAGAGAATTGATATACAAAGAGCCAGGACAAGGTTTGTTTACTCAGGAACTTATCATGGAGCATTTGATGGTGGTATGAAATTTTTGCCTTTGTATGGTTGTAATTTTACAGGCCAAATTTTATTCTAAAACTATTTCTTTGCGGGTAGCTTCATAGCATTTCATCAAAATTTCGTTCTTTCATTTGAAACATTGTTTATTCGGTATGCAAAACTCATTTCCTAGTTAATCTGCAGATCAGCTTTAACCAGCTAAGTGGAATCATTGATTTGAGAGGAGCAGGCAGTAATCAAACTACATTGTTTAAAATTATTCAGATCTACTTATTTTAGCCTACTCTTGGACATATTGTATTTTGTAGAATATGCGCAAGTAATTAAAATGCTGGGTAACGGTCGGCTGAATGCAAACTGCTTCGACGGTAAACCTCGCTTGTGTCATATTCGAGGGAAATTACGTAAAAAAGTATGGATTAACACTGGTGATATTATACTAATCGGTCTCAGAGATTATCAAGACGATAAGGTAATTCATTTGCAGATTTCCCAATTAGTGTAATTTCCTCTTCAATACTGTTTTTGGGATGAAACTGAAAAATGAGCACAAGCATATATCTTTCATACTTATTCACTTTGATTTTAGATTTTTTTGCATTACTTATGTTTGAAACGCCTGCGTTTTCATTAATTATTTGCATATGTGTATAATGTTACAGGCTGATGTTATTTTAAAATATAATCCTGATGAAGCCAGGAACTTAAAAGCATGTGGTCAATTGCCCGAAAATGCGAAACTGAACGAAGGTGGTGATGATCTCGATGAGGGTGGAGTTGAATTCGGTTTGTTTTTTTCCTCTGTTGGTAAGTTGTTCAACAGTCTCTTATTTCTATTGTTTTGTCATTTCAGCTGATACGGGTGCACTGTCCGATGAAGATAATGAAGGTTCTGGTAATGAAGATCTTCCATCAATTGGATCTGATTCTGATTCTGATGAAGATGAAGAAGAGGAGGAAACTGAAGATAGTGATGATGACAGAATAACAGAAGAACGATTGGCTAGAAATTATATTAAGCCAGGAGCAAGAGATCGTTCTCAAAAAAAGAATAAATGGTAATGGAAATTACGTATTGTCAGCTGCGCCACATTCTGCTATGTTCTGAATTTCTAGACCGTGCTTTTTTCTTTTCTATTTTTTCTATCATATTTAATTCTCGCTCGAATTGTAATTGCACTGTATTTGGAGAAACGTATTTCCTACTCATTTGAATTCAATTCAAGTTTTGTTTTTCTACACTTATATATTAGTAGTTTTATATTGTACTGCATTCGTGATTTGTTATAAAAAACGTCATGATTGTTTGATATATTTTCATAATGGCTCATTATTTATTCATTTTTCTGATTCGATGAGTTTCTTTCTTCAAGCTTGCGCTTCAAATTAAGAAGCTTCAAGGTTTCAAGCTCTAATAAGTTAGAGTATAAATTGGGTTGAATATTTTCTGGGCGAACTGATAGGATTCGCCTATTATTTGCAGCTTTTTATTTCACATTTTACTTGCGTGAAAAAAAAATCACTTACATATAGTGATTGCAGGTATTTTGTACTTTTCTTATTTTTTCATAGCTTCATTGGAAGATTTTCGAATGTTGACTCACAGAGCATTAACACTAATAATATTTCAGGCATTTATGTCTGCATCACTAATTTTATAAGTTCTATTGATAAACTTTTTTCTTTCATTTTGTCCGCATAAATTGATGACCTGGCACAAGACTTAATCAGTTGGACAGGTCGATTTAAACTTGTATACGCTACTCTTTAAGCCAGTAAAGTCATCGAAGGTAGAAGTAGTTTAGTCAATGTATCATCCCAGGAAATTGACCTTGATGTATTTGACAGCGTATTTATTGCAAAAGTGAGTCCCAATTAGTAAGCGAGAGGTATTTCACGATTAACAGAATAAACGATCTCACATTATTTGTGTTGGTTACTGACACGATTATTAGCACCAGTTTAGTTCCAAGACAAGTTCAATGATGGCGGAGATCTGTAATCCTTACTCAGGAGTGGATGGTTACGCTTTTTTTAGAAAAAAGAAATATCAGAATGCACATGTTTTCAGATTGAGTCTTCATTGCTATTTCATAAAAAGAAAAGTTTCCCTTTATTTTCTCGTGAAAATATTGTTGACTTCGCTGTTGTTTGCGTTGTTTTAAATATTGTGACATTGAGATTTCTGGAAGTTTTCTAATAATTAGGGCAGCTTTCTTCATGGCGATGGAATAACAATAGACTGGAATTACTCTAACATGGGCCTATTGAAAATTGTTTGATCGCGCTACCAACATATTATGTTTCTTCATTTGTTCGTTATAATGAAAGTGGAAAAATTAGATTTATGCTATATTTACTTGTTAAGTTTTGCATCAGTAAGGATTGGGCAGTGAAATCGATATAGAGATTCAAAGAACAGCTAGATTGATAGAGGGAGTGCTTCATATTCATATTGCCAGTCACAAAACAGTTGTTGCTTTTAAATCTAAAAAAAAAAAGAGAAAAAACACTGGGATGAACGGGGGATAGGATATCGTGAGTCTGAAATTGAGTTGGTTCTCCTTTTATTTTTCAAAAATCAACATACTAAAGTAAATAAGCTGAAGGTGGATTTCAGTGTTTGAAATATTGCTAAAAGATTAATTGTAAGTTAGTTCTCGATACCAGTGCAAATGATATATCATCAAAAAGCTTTCACGATAAACATACAGATGGAATTCATTTATCTCTGATTATCACGAAAACTCACTGATTGCTTCATTTGCTTCTGCATTTTTTTAAAAATCTTTCTACCTAATAATTTCTATTCTTTCTACTTGTAATTAATTTTCATGCTAATTATTTTCATTATTAAAATTGCATCTAACGGTTTGTAAAATTATATTATACAAATTGCATGAATTTTATCTTGCAATAGCATATGCTCATTAGACTTTAAATCTCGTAGCATTCTCGTTGCAACCCTTTAAAATACCTTACATTTAAATTTAATCAGAAAATTTTTCAGATTGTTTCTTTGTTGATTCATAATTTTTGTAATGAATGTTATTATCCATAATTTATGAAAATTTTCCTAAACTGTTCTGATTCATCATGGCTCTCTCTTCCAGTCATAATATATCAACATCATCCAACTATTACTATTTCAATATTGCAACAAAGTGTTCAAGTTGAATATTGTAGAAAAACAATAATTGATTGACTTTTGCTCTTTTGAAGACAAAGATTAGCTTTGTGTATTAGACAATTCTAATTTCGAATACCTGCGAATTTTGTTTCATAGTGAACAAATAAATTTTCCATTTTTTGTTATATAGTTTGTTCTGCAAGTTGACTATGCATTAAAATACACATAAGAAATGTATTTATTCGGACTCAATAAGGGAAGTAATGAGGCAGGATTATTTAGCGCTAATTAGCGTGGAATATTGCAAAGCCAGAAAAAGAACAATTGTAAATTTGTATTACTGTTCTAAACAATGACCTATCTTTTATCTTTACGGATTTTGATCTTATTGTTTTCTCGTGATTTTCCATCCATTTGCTTGTTTCCATCCGATATTTCCGTTTTTCAGTTTTTTTTTTGTTTTTGAAACTGAAGTAAAAAAATAATTTTTTAGCTTCAAACACGAACTGTCATATAAGTGTCTCCTTAAAACGTCAACTAAAATATGACCTATGCGACGATTTTAAAAAAACAGTATGATAAAACCAGGAAAGCCATGCATGTCATATTTTTTCGTCATGCTAATCTCCTTTACTGCCATATTCTTAGCACTACTATGGCTTTTAGCGCTATGCCATCATCGACACGAGCGAGAACATTTATTCCAGAACAGCAGTCAACAGCTGTCATAACTGATTTTTCGTTTAGCAATGTAAGCACTTAAACTTTTCGGCATTTCTTTTTTCCGTTTTTTTCTCTCAGAATTAGATCGAAATATCAACAATGTTGGATGATTCTGGAGCAGTATTCGCTTAACGTATGTCATTAGCGCTTTAGCACTCATATTTTTTTTACGATTTATTTTCATCACCCCTTGTTCCATTTTGGATTTCCAGTCAAACTCATAGTAGATTCACGTATATTTAGTGAAAGAACTTGGCTAAAACTAGTGCTTGCAGTACCTGACAGAAACTTATTAGGGATGCGAAATGGGAAAACTGTTTATTCTGGTTTATCATTTCATTACTTATCAACATGCATTCTGTGGTGTTAATCGATCAGTAAGTCAATTCAACAAAGATCGGTTATTCTCTGTTGTAAAATGTGTTGCATTTTGTGATATATGCCATTTTACGAATTTATTGCTTTCACTGGTAAATTTGTTTATTAGAAATTTTCTTTGAGCAATCAATTTATTGAATGTGTCAAATTCATATGGCAATTATTATTGAGAAAGTAGTCCCTCCGCTTTAGATGATTTCGATTAGTTACTAATGATGTTCAACCTCATCTTAGTAACACCGGCAGCATTGCATTGGAAGATGGTGAAATAACGACTTTCCATGGATTCAATTCCGAAACATGTTTAACTCATTCACAATGCTACATTCTCAGTTAGAGATTTCATATTAATCACTGAGTGAATTCCCCGAATATACAAATGTGGTTGACTACTCCAATGATATAATTCCGGTTCTTGCTTCACAAATCCAATATAAATTTGAAAATTGTGAAATGGCATTTTGTAGTAATTGAATTACTATGCCATCAATATGCTAGTATCAAACCTTTTTTATTTAGTGTACATAAAAAGATTTTATTTTCTTTTCTAAACTGTTCACACTCTTTCCAGAGAATTTTTTCAATGCCAAAGAGAACTGAGACAAAGAAGAGAAGCGCTATTGTCTTCAATTTCAAGAATGAGACATATTATAACTGCCATTTCAAAGTGACACCAAAAAAAATTCTAGAAAAACTTTCCTGAATGAAATTACATTCCCTATTACTTGGAATATAGATATCTCATCCATTTTTTCTTCATTGCTGCAATTTCAATTTGTTAACAATCTAAATATTTTAATGGAGAAGTAATATATAAAACAACTTTTCCATTCCATTATTTAATGCAAATTTCATATCGCTGAGTTTTAAACTGATCCAAAACCAAATTATGGTCTGCAGTTTAAATGTTATTAAATAGCAAAATGCTGTGCTAAAACATATTTGATCGTATGATTTGGATTAGACTCGCAAGAATTTTAAACATTTGAAGATCGTTGAAGTGAAACATAAATTACAAATGTTATTATCTGCTAATATATCTTTATTGAATCGTTATTAATAAAAGTAATATCATTTAATAAATGAATGGATTGCCAATTTTTTATAAACCAAAAATTTATTTTAATCCAAAAGCAGCAGAAGATGCTCATGGATCGCTATCATTCCATCATTTCAACAAGCAAAACGGAAACAGGAAAAAAGTTGAATCTTTGATCTCGAATAGTGATGCTGTGTGGTGAATAAAGTGATAAAACAGGTAAAGAAGACATTTCGGAACGTGAAGTATGCAACAATGATAAATGTATGAAATAATTTAATATAAAACTGTACAACATTTTTTTATAATCAAAGGGAAAAAAGAGGAAGCTGATAAAATAGTTTAATAACGATTATATATACATATAATTGAGAATTTTTCATTGTTCCGAATCTATTGTTCAAAAGTACTAATCAAACAAATAATTAATTTTGCATTTGTCTCACTGTTACTTAATTGTTTCATTAGTTCTTAATAAATTATTAAGTTGTGTTTAACGCATTAATAATCTAAGATAATATCATCTGATCAAATAAAAATGGCCTATTTCTTAATGCTTAAACAAATTATCAGTGCTATTCCATTTTTGTAACTCTCACTCTTAAATTATTGTTATAATACAATTTTTATTAAACAGAAACTCCATGTTTGAAGTTTTGAAAATTTCTTAAATTTTTTGGCATTACGAAAAATTTTGAGTTAAAAATAAAAAGAAAAGGAACCAGCAATTCAAAATAAAAAACATTTATCATCATATGAAATATATCTATCAGAATTAATTATAATTTGAAATATTAAATTCTATTTCAGTTAAGAAATAATATAGCTGTCAATAAAGCGATCAATGATTATTCTTCCGTATGAAATTCATTAAACAACAACGTTTGAGAAAAGGAAAATATGAGCAAAATAAAAATAAGCAAAAGAAATTTGTTTTCATTACAATTTCTCAAATTTTTGCTTTTGTCATAAATTTTTATAATAATAATAATAAAAAAGTTTCATCGATTGTTTGAATAAATTAACTCAATGTAATTAGCTAAATTAGCTATCATCAAGAATTTGTAGAAAATTTTGCAGTCACAGGGTATCCTTTTTCCCTCCTAATATATTAATTATATCAGTTAAATTAAGTTATCCATAATTTTGGAATGTTTTTTTTTCAAAAAAAATTGAAACAATTTGTAGCATTTACAGCAATCAAAAAGCATTATAATAAGCTTTTAATTAATTTAAAATAATTACTTATTATTAAACATTTTTTTTAGATGACAATTATGAAAAGTATCAAATTTTTGGACGAATTTTAATGATGCCTCAATAATGTGACATAATTAGGAAATAAAATGAAATTCTGAATAATACAAAAGGTGTCTTTTTTTTAAAGGTAATGTCACAGTTCCTTGTGAAAGTTTATGCTTGTATGCATGAGACTGGTCGATTTAAGATAATGATTTAATGAGGAAATTATTTTATGCTTTGTTTTTAATTGACGAGTTCATTTGGTAGGATTCTTTTTGGACAGCCTATTCCTAAATATTTGCACTGAGTGAAGAACATCTGAAATAGTAATGCAATAAATTATCAAATAAATCAATGTGATAACCATGTGAATAAGATGTTAAAATAAATCATAGGCGCATTAAAAGCATCCCTGATCAAGAAAGTGAAGTAAAAAATAAGGAAGAGCAGAGGAATACAGAAGGACATCAATGATTTTGAATGAATCAAGCTGAAACATGAGCTCTGGAACCAGTTTTCAATCACAGCTATTAGATACCGATGGTCACGCCTTGACCGATCCATCCGGATCCTTTTAAATGACATATACCTTTCTTTTATAACTATTTGCACGTCACATTCTGTACCGCAATAACCGTTTTTAATTACCTCTTTTAGTTACTGCTATACTGTCTCTATACAAATATAATTTGCATAATAGCGACGGAGTTTGATCTGCTTAATGATAACATTTTATCAATGAAATGTTGTATTGTTGATTCTCCTGTATTTACAGCGCTAACATTTAGCGCTTCGTTACATTTACATTTGTCATACTATTTATGCGATATTTATAATGGTGTAAGAAAAGGAGAATAATTTCAAAAATTGTAAAACATGAAATTTTCAGGTATTTCTAATAATATTTTCTAAGCTTTGTATAAGCTCAAGTTATAGTGAACTGTCTAGAATGAGGTATATAAGCGTGTTGCTATCACTGTTATTCAGTAATGGAAAATCTCAGTATGATTTCGTCCCTGAAAAGCCCATTTTTTTCGGTAAGTGTTATTGTCTACCCTGTTTCTTATAATTTATGAACGAAACTGATAGTTTTTATCAGTCTCATATTTTAAAGTTAAAATTAGCTCCATTCATTTCAATATTTGACAACCTAAATCATCCATGATTTGCTTGATCCACTTCTGAACTAAATAACAGTTTTGTCTTATAATATTTCAAGTTTGATACAGTTCAATATTGCATCTATTAGATTATGCTTCGCCAAGTTTATTGCACAATAAATTAATGCAAATAATAATTATAGAAATATATGTCCATGCATAGATAGCAAAGTTTCCATGAATAAAATTCAAATCTCTCAGATCAACGATAGAAAAGAAATTGTTCTGAGAAAATTGAAATTTTCCATTTTGATTTTCACGGCACTCATAAAAACTTAAATTAAATAAGATTTTTAAAATAAAAAATTTAAAAAAATTATCAAGTTGTCCAAACAAAAGCAAAATATTATGCAAACTAAAAATAATACATATCTTCTCATTTTCACCTCTGACATCGATTCATCTTTCATGATAAAATAAACCAAATATTAAGACAAAAATGAAGAATTTATCACTTCTTGTTTGTACAATATTTTTTGTTCAAACATTTTGATAGTTTTCTTTCCTTCACTCCTTTTTTTAAATTATCATTCCTAATTCAACAAGTTTTTTTTCTCATGATGATAGAAGTAAGAGTAGAAGTTTTTGATTTTCACGAAACCTCTTCATTGGAAGTTCCTTAACCGTAGGAAAATTTTAGAATAATATGGGTTATTCCTTATTTCATGAAATCGAATTAAATTTCCTTCATTTGCTCACCGTAATGTTGTAGGCTCACAAGCGATCAAGATCTGATCAACTGACAGTTCTCCTGACATTATGCTTGATAAGGCATTAAAATGCAAATTTAAATACACAAAAATTTTCTACCCAAAAATATTTAAAATAAATTTGAAAATTCAATTAAAAAATTAGTTGTTATCAGGTATATAACTATTAATATTTCCACAATTTCCTATTGCTATGAACTTAATTCTACAGCTCTTTTCTATTTCATATTATTTGAAATTTTTTCGGAGTCCTATATGCAATTACCATTTGGTAACAATAAAAGTAAAAATGCCGTAAAGATGATCGAAGCAAAAGTTACCCTTCCTAAACCAAAATGATAAGTCATTCGTAGCCCTTCCTGACGATAATTTATCAAGAAAATTAAAATTAAGTAAAAATTATAAACTGATCCTAATTGTTGTCGTTCATTCAGGTATTAATACTCCTTTTAAAAAAGATATATCACCAAATGTTGGGAAGTCACAAGTGAATTTCCATCCGCCACCTGATATTTCTCAACCAAACGTTTCATATCAACGTGTATTGTGAGTTGCTCAATGTTTTCAGTTAAACAAAGTAAACGCAATGTGATAAAAAAATGAAATACAATGCTATTCGACATTAAAATCAGTACCATGGGATAAGGTGACACGATAAATTCTATGATGGAAACATTAGTGCTTCTGGTTAGAGAGAATCCTATATTTTTCCTACATACCTTAAAAGTTTTAGTAAGAAAATGACAAAAGAAATTGAGACTACAAATTCATATTGTCTAAACTTCTTCTTTTTCATTTCTTTTTTTCACTACAACTTTTTTGTTTCATTTATGAAATTTCTTATGGAAAAGTAATTTATTAAATTTGGGAATTAGGATAAAATGGTATTATTATGTGATCAATTCAGTTATTTATGCATATTAAAAACAATTTTGCTTGAAATAATTATTTAAGTAGAGGACGAACAGATTTTAAATACCGATTTAATGCCGGTGAAGTGTATCGTTCAGCCAAAGCATTATTCACAATCCGGAATCTTGGTCGAAATGATACGGCTTTGACAACTGACATTGAAAAAACAGCTATCATTTCAGATGTTCAAAAACAAGGTTTAGTTTCAATTTTCAATACTTTTTATATGCATCACTTATAAAAGGAAACTTGCATGAAATTACCAATCTATTGATAATTCACCGCTGGTCAAAAAAGCTTCTTTTTAATGAAATATTTTTGGACCAGAAATTTCAGGATACCATTCTTTGCTTACTTATCTAGAATTTAAATTCTAAATTTAAAGATACAAGTGGTATTCTTTTGTCAGGTTTTAGGACAAAAAAGCAGAACAATTATTTTCACTATGTGTTTCTATAGTTCACTAAATATTTTAAACCTTGTTGCTAGGTTTCTGAATATATATTGCAATTCGGAAGTCACCGACTGATGCATCTTCCCAATCTTTTTTAATTCCCCAGCATACAAAAAAAATAAAAACCTCTAAAATCTTAGTCCAAATATAGATTGAACGACGTAAACGACACAAAAGAAATGATACTAATTTCGCGATCTAATCAGCCGAACCGCTTATTGAAGGATTAATAATAATTAATCTGTTTTAATCTTTTTTCTTTCATTTTTATAGATACCAGTAATTCTATTGAATATCAAAGAACTACATATTCAACTCGAGGACATGAAAATGAAGTGGGAATATCTCTGGAATTTTCGACAACCGAGAGCATTTCGACCGAAAGCATAGAAACTGGAAAGGAAAAAGCTACAGATCTACTTGCTGAATTGCCTCACATACTTCAGAAACAGCCAAAATCTCCCGACTATAATGAATTTCAGCAACAGTACGTTATTTCGACATCTTCAACTTTATTTCCTACTTCAACAATTTCTGGATCAACACAGCATCAAGAGCTGAATTCATCTTATCTCACGGACCCAAAGCAATCGAAATCTGAGGAGCACAAATCTATTGTTCTGAACAAAGCCCATGAAGCTCCGCAAGAGATGATATCATTATCGAATATTATATCAAAAAAACTGCCTTCCAGTTTCGGAAATAATATATCATCATTTACCATCGATACTCTATCCAATAAAACCACACAAATGGAAAAAATTAGTAGCTTTTCAGAAACTCATGGAGTGTCAGAAAATCAATACGGGTCTAATATAATACTCGAAACTTCTCATATCAGCGAATCCTATCCGGATTTATCGGATTTATCGACTAATACAGTCCCATCTTTGATTGTTATTTCAATGAACCATTCTGGTGAAAATACAAAATCTCAGGAACTAGCTATTCAACATTATGGTGATAATCATCAAACCAATATTTTAAAAAACACAAAAAACTCTTCTAATGCAATACTGCGGGCAACAGACGCTGTATCCTCCTTTGTCAAGCAATTTGTTAAACTAAGGATCCAATCGCTATTACCTTTTCATTTTTCTATGAAAAATGAAACCGTTGTTTCTAATAACATATCATCAAGCAGACAGATATCTTCAAGACAGGAAACCATCTCTAGAAATTTTACATACTTCGGATCTAATGTCGATAAAAGCAATAAAAACAGTGATAATGCCACATTGGTAACGACTACTGATAAACGGATATTTGCGCAAACAAACCACAGTTTGTCAGATGAAGAAATTCCGAATGTTACAAATGAAAAAGAAGCTTTGGATAATTTTGAACCAGAAACAGATCACTTGCAAAACAAATATAAATCGAAGCAACAATCAACACTTGGTGATGAGTATTATTCGGAGAAGCAGCATTCATTTTCCGATTTAGATACTGAAGACAGCAGTGATAACATTGCTGGAATTGGTGAACAAAATTCTCAAAACAATGATATCTATTCAACCGAAGTGTTTCCAAACTATCAAAATATAGAAGTAATTGAACATAGTGAAGTTCCAACCCAATTGGGTCATACCGATATTTCTGAGCAGGAACAGGTATATTCATACTTCGTGTTTCATTTAGCAAATTTTTTTAAAAGCAGAATACAATCTCAAAATTCTTAATGAAATATCTCGCTTTTTGCTGAAATTTGAATATCGATAATCAAATGACAATGCCATAATAATTTAATTAAACAATTGCAAAAATAACTTTTAAATGTTCGTTGAACATTTTTTTATCTTGGAGTGGAAATTTCACATTTTATAATGAAATTAGTATTGAATAGCGCGATATATAATATAAAATTTTTCATTTGTTATCAAAATCATTGAGCGGAATAGGAAACATTGTTTATAAATAATATTTTCAGGGCAATAAAATAACGATGAGTTCCGATCTTCGTCCATCCAGCATAGGTAATTAATTCTTTGTCATAAGAAAATTACTTCTGATAAAAAAGTAAAATTAATTAACTTCCCCACTATTCAGTTCATTCTTGTAATCAAATCATATCGTGCATCATCATGTTTTAAAATAGGACATATATCGTCACGTTTTAAAATAGTTCATTCACGCACTATTCAGTTCATTCAATCTTGTAATCAGATCGTATCATGTATTATCACGTTTTAAAATCAAACGACTGCTCTGATTGCACTTCATTGATCCGTAAGTTGTTAGTGCAATTCATGTTTCATCAATGTTATGACGTGTAACGACGTCAACTTATTTTACGATTAAAATGCGTCAAATGCTTCACCTAATACATGATGGCTATTACTTTTATTAAATCAAAGATAAGCTATCTTTTTGAACCATCAAAGGTAGAAAGTTTGTATTGACTTCATAAACGAGAATAAATTGTTCTCCTCTCATTTTTCTCTTTCTAATATCTACGCATTTTTCAATATTTGATTGAATCAAAAATGTAAACCGTTGAGTTTGCATATTTAACTATGTAGTTGACAGAATAATTACAAAAACAATATATATCATTATTAGTATAAGTAAAGAACAGTTAATATTTTTTCGGCCATCTGATCCATCAATTATTTTTTAAGCAAATAAATTTTTCATAAGCAAAGCTAACAAGATATGTTGATTGAAGTGAGTTATTTAAGTAGTATGTAAAGTTAAAACTTTGCCGGAAGTAACCAAAATTTGTTGCTGTTAATTCTGAAGAAAAAAAGGAGTGGGCTTTTTTAGAAGCAAATTTAAAAATTACTCTATTTGATTGGATCTAAATTAAATTTAAAAAGAAATTATTATTTTACCAGGTTTGATTTCCGCCATAATATAGCTGTGAATTTTGTTAGTATTGTTATTTCCTATCAATTTATTGCTGCTGCAAAATTTTATCATATCGCCGCTTTTGCATCGCTTTTGAATTCACTGAAAGTTTGCAGATTGGTATTCAACCCATACAATGATATCAGCCTATATAATGACAACAACGCCATCACCGCCATTAACTCTATTAACGACAAATGGATTCAATGATGTAAATGGTGAAAAATTATTGAAACTGACCGAAAACAATGCTGATTTAGCCCTAAAACATTCTGCTGTCGACATTTCCAGTGGTACTACACAGCCAAATGTAGCGGTTACTAAAATGAGGCCACAAGTTCTTAAAGAAATTCATATAATCAAGCAAACTGAATCAAGCGGTTTTAGTGACGAAAGAAACTTTAATATCAATTCTCAGCTTACTCCGAGCAATAAACTTACACCATCAAACGAAGGTATTAATCATTCTTTTAAAACAATCAAAACATGATTAGAACATAAACTATATTGGAAGAGAGTATAGAAAGCGGTGAATAGAAAAGTGAATGTTGCTTAATTAACAACATACGCTGCATTTCACTCTCTTTTTAAATAATGTCTTTGCAATCTAATTATCGATAATTACACAGAAATTTACTTAATTTTTTCTTAATCCTTCATTTTTTTTAGTACTTTCAGATTCAAAAGAAATTATGTCATCGGCATCTTCAGTGATGGCGAAGGAAATGCCATCAGTAATTACGGTAATGCCGACTTCCACTTTAGCTGGTGTTCATCGTACTGAGATAGCAATAAAAGAAACCATTCAAGATAATCATGAAGAGTCAGTAAATTGGCTTGCAACATCATCTATGAAGCCTGGAAAATCAAATCAACGTGTTACTCTTCCTATTTCTGAACTGAAGATGCATATTGAAGTATCTGATACTTCTGGGTTGATTTTAGACACAAGCACTATCAAAACAAAAGAATCTTCCGAAACAATCAACATTTCTACATCAATTTTCCTTGAAAACATAATAGTTCCATCATCCGTTCCATTATCAGCTGCGACCGAAATTCCATCAACTGCAACAACAGTGCATCATGAACGGACTGCAATCGATCATTCAATTATTGAGAAAGATTCTGAGGTCAACCTACTACAACATGTTGATGAAAAAACTTCAGAAAGATTGCTGGAAACAATTTCAACTTACCCGAAAAAAGCATATGAAAATGAAAAGGAAATTGCAACAGATGACTATGTCCATTATTGGAATTCTGAATTTAGCACTGAAGTTTCTTCACCAGAAATACTTCATAATCATTCTTCCGAAATAACCAATAAGGTAGGTATATTTCTTTTCAGTTCCATTTTCTAACATATTATCATATGTTGTAAAAACATTATTAATATCGTTAGTTATAATTTAATAAGAAATGATTTAATCTAAAATACTAGTAAGCCTTTCTTATTTCTAAACGGTTTCTGAGCTTTCGAATATACGTTTAAGAGACTGAAAAAATTTTAGTATTCATATGTGATAGTCCGTAAAAAGATATTAGTTGTATGGTTGAAAGCGAAAGATTTCATCGACAAACGAAAAACAAGTTTTTTTTGTTGATAATGCAAAATTTTAAACTAGATTGAAAATAATGGCGCATCATACTATACCAATAATCTTTATGAATATGAAGGAAACGACGGTAATTATAACAACATCACGGCTATAGTAAGTGTAACTCGAAATTAAATTAATATTTCAAAATAAATATTTATCATATTTTAATACATTCTTTATAAACCCTCTTCCACATTTGTTTTTGTTTGTCAGTCCAAAAAGCAATCCTAAACTTCTGTTGCTAGAATTTCAAAAATTAGTTTTAAACAGAATCATTAGTAAAAACTGTTAATTAGTTTGTAATCCTTTTGCGTCTCATAGTTTAGTCGTAATGTAGAGAAATGATCTCACTAATCTTACTTCATTATTTTACATAGCATATTATTTTTTTTTGGTCGACAAAAATCGGAATTTAATTCAAAATGGAAGATCACGAAATACATCCATAATTGGTTATCAATCTGAAATATCAAAAGGTTCCTTCCTTTTTCTAGAAAATTTCAAATAATTTACAAAAATTTCTAATTTTGAAGGATAATTTTATTTGAAATGTCTTCTGGAAAACGTTGATTGTAAAATCTTAACAATCTTAATGAAGGCTTTATTATATTAAATGTGAGCTGTTCATTAAATATTAATGTTTTATTTCCATTTAAAGGTGGTCTTTTGAGAGGTTGTTATATATATATATATAACAACA